GTTCTCCGGGGAGGTGACCTTCAACTGCGTGAACTGACTGCATACGGGCACGCATAGTACTTCCGTGCAACTTCACAAGTCCACTGGTTTTGCCGTCACAGCCTGAAGATTTTCGTGTTTTTAGCAGTGATATTTTCTACAAACACTTAGATCGATGAAATCTTCAGGTCCTTCAGCTTCGCATCGCAGTCCCGAAACCCGGTTGCGTTAGTGAACCTTGGTACTGAGCGGGTTACCACGTTCAGCCGCCCGTCGAATCGGCTGATGACGGTAAAAGCCTTGGTTCATCCATATTTTTTGTGGCATAAAATGAAAAAGACTCCGTGTCGTAGCTTAGCTGCTTAGTCAGCTTACTGCGGAATATGAACCTGTCGTTGAGAGCCCCTATGTCACACAAGCTGTATGACTCCCAGTCACAGATGAGGTCCGATTCCCTACCTAACATGACCCGATCGCACCATGGCCTCCTCCTTCCTTTCATCTGCCTACGAGTCATGCGAGTCAACTAACCCCCTTAATCCTATAACGCAGCTGTACATATACGTCAGAGTGTGTCAGGTGGGAGGAACGACCCTGCTGACTCCAGATGGAAGCCTCCTTTTTCAGCCGCTACCATCATTCGATGTCGTGGAGGCGGTGGCTCGTCTCGGGGAAATTGACCGATTCAAGACGGGAAATACGGTTTCAAGAGGAGGGGGAATCTTAGTGTCCAATAGCAGTTGATCCGTGTTTGGCTCCCAGACTGTTCCCACTTGCTCAGCAGTGCACCTGTCAATGCACTAACGTTAAGCAAGGCGATAGGGCTGGCTCCGCCGTTATCTGAATTTGTCATAGGGGATTAGTCTGATTTTTCAACAGGTTGTGTGCATTTTTCGTGTTGTCTCTTGATTGCGACGTTAAGGGTGTTCCTATTGTGTTTCATCATGGACTGTGCAGATGGCATACCTATCCACGCGTTTTTGATCTTCTGCGGTCGCGCAGAAGACACCAGCGTCCAACCCAAAAGGGTTTCCGCATGCGTTACTGTGTGCGACGCCACCGACCTAGCCTTATTTTTTGTCACCCTAGTGCTGCAACTTGAATTTCTTCCTTCTGAGTTAGGAGATGTTATTGGCACTTTTGCGGTGATGAGTAGCCTCTCAAGTTAGTGTGCATGGAGTGCAGAAGGCTTTTTTCATGCCGGGCAATTATAGCAGATCGACTTAATGGCGGCTTATTCACGGACTCAGAGCACTCTTCGGATCCAAGCTGTCACTACGATAATGCATCTACTACTGGTATAGGTTGCACATAGATGCCTCACCATAGACTAATACTATTCTAAGGCAAATAATAAAGCCGCCAAATATTGGAGCTTCACTCGTGTTCCATACGAGCGGTGTTGAAGTTCGCGATGAGCTAGTTGGGGTTCATATCTCGCTCTTCTCCACACAAAACGGCGTAGTCTGGTTGCCACCATGATTGTGACTGCCTTGCGGAACAGTAGGACTGGTGTGCATCATTCGCCTGAACACTAGTGACATAAAACAGCGGTCAGTCCATCTCAAATTTACTGTGGATGAATTTAGGAGTCATGTCAAGAGATGCATCTTACATATCGGTGTGAAATTACGAGCAGTGCAACGTAACACGACAGCGTGTCAAACAGCGAGGATGCTTTCCTGGGTGCCTTCAGCTTAGCGAGTCCAGTTAAACTATGAAGATCAGTATCAATGTTGAATCTCGTCGAAGCCGATGCTATTGATTCTGGAGAAGTGTGTGATGCTGTAGATCACTCCCCCGTAGTGGGTTCATAAGGACTTAAGGACGATACCAGCTGGAAGTAAAACCCAGTGGTTTCTCCACTGGTAAAACTCCTCCGATGGGCTCACTACGAGAAATGGCCCTTGGTTGTCTAAACCTATTCTAGGGTGTCGTGGCAAATGAGAGATAAAACACAATAAATTGAATTGTACGTCGATCGCGGCCCTCAGTCCCCTTTGACGTTCCGTCCAGTGCTCGTTCCACCTGGAATATAAATAAAAGTCTTTAACACCACGAAAACCTTCCGTATAAATGGGAGTTATTTATATATAAATACATTGAAAAATAAAAAATAATTTCCACTTATTTTTGAAAAGTTTCATTACGTGGTAGTGAGAAGTTGATATAGAAAGGTAAAATGTAGGAGGATTTTCGCATTGCTGGTAAATAAGAAAAACAATGCCCCGAAAACAAAAGTTTTGAATTACAGATATATGATAGGCACATTTTATTTCACACTGCTGAGTTGAATATGACTTCAAGTACTCCGGGAACCTGATGGTCCGACCCGATCGTGTTTTTTTTTGCGCCGGTGGTTGTTGTATCTGTGCGTTGACAGGCACATCGTCAAGAATTTCGATGATTGGGCTATCCGCCGGTCGGCTTTGGCGAGCTGAGACATCACTTATGATGGGTTGCCTTCGAAATAAGCTGGTTTCAAACGGTCGATACTAACTGTGTCTTCACATCCGTTTCACCACCGTTTGTCAGTCTGCTGTTGCAAGACTGCTCCGATTGCTGGGTCAGATGCATCAGCATCAATGATCAAAGCAGCACTGGGGTTGTGATGCCCGCAGGTAGATAGATAACTTTGTGTTGTTATCTATCAGTCGTTCACGACCAGCATCTACGAGTAGATCGTAATGGCGTAGCGAGTCTGTGCCAACGTTGGACACAGAAACGTCCCTTGGGGGAAGATCCAGTGAACAGGTTTACGTAAACCTAAGTTGAGGTAGGCATATCGTCTCCAAAATATTGCGATCACCTCATCGTCAGCTGCTTGAAGATTGAAGGACGGGTCATGATGACGCTCCTCTGCCGGTGCGGGAAGAACGCTAACTTCTGTGGCGGTGTCGGCGAGGTAGCGAACTTCCGTTTATATATCGGTGACGTAGAGCGAATGACTGTTTCCGCCGGCTACGGTTGTCGTGAACGCGTGCCGGCGTGACAGTTTCCCTAGTTTGTGTCCGTGTGGGAACTGCATAGCTTCGGACATTTTCTGGCTTCTTCCCCGTAAGTACCATGAAACCAGCACCATTTCGGGTTTTCCACCCTGTTAGGTTCAGTTTCTGGACAACCACTTGAGTTGCTGCAATGCACCAAGATGCGTTTGTGTGATGTGCTGGGCCACCTGGGATTTCGAGCTCACAGCAACTGTTTAACGGAGTTGCACAACTTGGTCACCTCTGAATCCTGGCTCTCTGGTTTATCGTGGACAGAATATACGTTGGAGATAGGTCTGCTGGAGATCTCCAGAATTTTATCTGCTGAGGCTGCCAGGTCATCGAGCTGGACTGACTGAAGTGTCACTAACACGTTTTGCACCGGTTGTGGTAGTTCTGAGAGAAATAGTTGGCGGAGAAGGCGAGTGTTCGTGCATCGACTACTTCTCGCATGCGTGCAAGGACTTCGGTAGCTAAGTGGCTGCCTAGCCCGATGTTGGGAAGCGATTCGTCTAGGCGCTGGCGATCTGTGAGATCACTTTTCTTCAGGAGTGCAGCTCTCAGAATTGCATAAGGATCACTTACTTCAGGACTAAACATGTGACATGCCGGTTTAATTCTCGCGATAGTAAAGGTTTGACGGCAAGAAATCGAGAATGAGGATCTGCGACTCCTAGTTCTCGAAAATCTGCCTCGACATACAGAAACCATGTTTCTGCAGTGTCTGGCCAAAATGGCACGAGTTGGATCGCGTTCGTAGTCGGCTTGGTACGGATAAGCTTGTGAGCATGGTGGGGCATGAGAAAGAGTTGTATACGGATGTATGAAGGTTATCAAAATGAAGACAATATACAAGTATAACATGGAACAAACTCACCAATTCAATATTTGTTACTGGTCGGTATACGTAATTAAATCGAGCCCATCAATTTAAAAATTGTCCTGGTGCGAACTTGACAAACGCAGAGGCCAATCACTAATTATTCGAACTCGTTATATACCCACTAATACGAGACCAAGAAAGAACACAATAGTGTGATCAGATGGAATAGTATATTTTCGAGGTCGTGTCAAGATACAATGAGTTCCAACTAACTGGCTAGAGAGTCGATTACGAGCAGTGCAACGTAACACGACAGCGTGTCAAACAGCGAGGATGCTTTCCTGGGTGCCTTCAGCTTGGCGAGTCCAGTTAAACTATGAAGATCAGTATCAATGTTGAATCTCGTCGAAGCCGATGCTATTGATTCTGGAGAAGTGTGTGACGCTAGACTACCGTTTCGAACATTTGTGACAGTATTATGGAGATTTTTACAGTCAGTGTGGGAGAAATTAATGTTTTCTAACACTGTGGAATGACATTACTTGGAATGGAAATCAATTTTAAGTTGGTTAACCTTTACACACTTGTCACTTGGTCTTCTGTACTTGGCCAAATACCTTTCCCTTGAACCCCAGATGTGTATATGGACCAAGACAGAATTTTCCTGGCTGATGAACCCTAAAGGGAACCGAAGGCTGAAGCTTTTTTGCAGCTGAGACAACCAAGAATCATTAACGGTAGGTAGCTTGGTGAGTTTAAAGAAGTAACGTTGTTGGTTTTTCCAATTTGTAGATATTTTGACAACCGCGGGACAGTCTGGTGCGTACAGCTAGAGCGGTGTTAACAACGCCTGCAGGTGATAAGCGAAATATTCCATGTAAGCATTTCCGAATCTTGGTAGGAGAGGAAAAAAGCTCAGATCTCTAGAGTTTATTCTATTTTGACTAGGTTAGGATTCTGAGAATTGACTTTGGGCCTCATCTGCCCTCTTTTTTTCCTTCTTATCGGATCAGAATACCTTAAAGGATCTGGCTGGACAGCACAAAACAAAGAACTTTGCCGTCTATTTAAGGAACTGGTTTTGTATCAGGTAACCATCTCGTAGAAGAAGTGGTGCCGAGTCATCACTGTATTTAGTCAAACCACGGTTAGACAAGCATAGATACCTGTCTGAAAAGGATTAAAATAAGGTCGTCACTTTAGGTTCAGTGCCAGAATACAGCGCGAAATACAAATGTTAGCGCTACTATAAGGTTGTTAGGAAAATAGCTTTCCCATAATTAGCTCCCGACTAGTGGAATATTAGCTAATATTCTTTATGTATCCAAAGTAGGTTCCAAGAACTTTCTGGCTCTGAAGTAACTACACAACGCAGGAACAAACTCCAGTACATACGGTAAACAGTTTATCTGTTTACCGTTCCTTGAGCCATTTTCAACATTCTGTTAATTCTCCTGATTTTACAGTTGCTTTCACCACTGCCTGTCATTAGCTATGTAGAAAAATTTACCGTTCTTTGAATTACTCAATGGTTCTTCAGCTAGATTAACAAATTTGCGTAACGTTAGATTAATTAAGGTAGTGATAACTTTGGTATTAACCCTCAGAACAAATTTGATCAAAGTCTACGGAGCCTTTTTGATGCTTTAATTTCAACAGGATGATGTGTCAGTCGTCTCAACCATCTCGAAGAGTACCTTGCAGCAAGCTTGAGCATATAAAACTTTCGGGTAAATAGCATTTGGAGGCGTGATGTATTTTGAGCGCCTTTTTCAGAGTATCTACTACTGTGTGTTTGTATCTCGTGAAAGATGAATTGACGTGTTGCTACTATGTCAAGGATTATGGTCAGTGTCGACTTGGTTAGTTTGTTTCACATAGTACCTAGCGCCAAGTTGATGATAGATTCAAAGTAGAATGAGACTTGGCTAGTTAGGTTAGAATTATTACTTTCACCCGTCCCAACAGGACGTTCAGTAGTCACGGTTTGCATATTCTTCCTGGTAAGGAAAAACCTTACCTTAATTCCGCCAGCGATATCGTCACAAAGCGGTAGCGTAAAGGTCATACGGATCGTACTTACTCAGAAACTTGTATGCACTAGTGTAACATACCATGCTTTTTGTCAGAGGAATAGAATCCTGCCCTAATTTGTGATAAACTATTAAAAGTATTAAATTTTTGTGTACCTCGATGCTGGTGAGGGTTTAGTAGACAAAACGAATCTCCACTTATTAACATGTCTATGCTACGATAATTTTGCACTCCTGCTTCATTTACGAAATCTGGTGGCTCTGCACTAGTTATTGGTGTGCATTTACCAGTATCGGCTTTAAAACGTTTACATTATATGTCTACCAAATATATGATAGCCGAGTGGCACATGTTAAGAAACATTTTGGGTAAAGCACCTCTTGACAATGCACTTACACGACACCCTATGGTTTTTGAATAACTAAACAGTATAAACATTTTCGTTTGACGTTTTCAAAGTAATAATACGTTTTTCTGTAGATCTAGCCTTATACTCATTGTATCAATCGTATGGATTCAGCTAATATTTGAAGTCACCTCAAGACAATCAATGAAAGATGTTCTTGTTACATACTGTGCGATCTCATGTGTTAAACACAATACCTAAAGTGCTCGCCAGATTCCCTAATTGCCTTGCTAATTATTTTTCTACTGAATCGGAAGCACCTTTGCAGCGAACATCTGTTCAACTTACCGATAATGTTGAAGAAAATGTGGTTTATGAAGTTTATGATGAACATTGGGAAGTAGACCCGCCTGTGCAACAAATTCATATAACGACTGAGCAGGAACCTGAAGAACAACTACCATTTATACGGTTGAAAAGTTTGTTTTTGGAAAAATTGCTTAACCTTACACTTGCTTAGATCTTTATAATATACCTGAATTAGTGGAAGTATTAAGACGTGAAAAAATCCAAGATATCGTTTGCCTGAATATGGATAATAGCTTCATAGCTCCTTTTATGGTCATTGGAAGCGGTATGTCCAAAAGGCATATTAAAAGTACTACCACCCGTGTACATAAATTGGTGAGTTACTTTTTCTTTAATTGGATTGGTTCGCACACTTTTACTGGCGAACTGTGCGTTTCGATTTTCAAAACTCCAAATTCTAGGGTATTGCAGTATTCAATTATTTTTACTTTATTCTTCTAAAACTACTTGCGCTTTGCACCTGCAGTTGAGATTAACAGTACCAGCCTACTTCGGTTTATCGGTTCCTATTGCGCATACCTCAGCTTACTTGTCAATTACATACTCATAACAGATAAATGGCAACCCCAACCAAACGAATCGATAGTTGCTCGGACACTTACTAGTAGGAACCCAAAACTGAGTTGTCGGTGCATTCAGCAAACATTCTCCAGTTCACAAAAGACTGACTTTCTGAAATCATTTAATGGTCAGCAAAATAATCTGCATTATCAAGTGCTCATTTATTTTTGCACCGGTCAAGTATGCATATTTTCTCTGAATGCTACAATATTTGATATGCATTAAGTCCCGACCGGCATTTTCTACTTTGACGTGGTAGTCAGGCTTGCATATCACAACTGCTTTAAGAGTTATGCTGGCCAGAATGATTGTTTCTCAAAGTTCTCCCATACCAGAGAGGTTTTTTGTATAGCCATAATAGAAAGTTACCTTCAGTAATCAATATATATATATATATATATATATATATATATATATATATATATATATATATATATATATATATATATATATAATTTTTATTACTAGTCCTTTGGGTTCCTAGTAGAACATACGGCTTCAGTAGCACGTCTCCAGTGACCTCTGTTCTCTGAGAACTTTTGAGCCTGGTTGCACGACAGCCCAGAAGCTCTCATTTCCTCCTCGCACGATCTCCTCCATGTCACCCTCACCTCGGACACCCAAATCGTCGCTTCCCATGGGGATTCCACTCGAGTGACTGGCCTGACGCGTGATGTCCCCAGTCGGCCTTCTCAGTGCATGCCCAATCCATCTCCACTTCCTCCTGCATATTTGTTGCGTGATAGGTTCTTGGTTGATTCGTCCCCAGAGCTCCTTGTTGCTTATTCTTTCTGGCCATCTGATCTTCAGTAGCGAGCGTAAGCAGTTGTTGATGAATGTCTGTAGTTTGTTGGAAATCCCTTTCGTGACGCGCCAAGTTTTTGAACCATATAGGAGCACTGACTTAACGTTTGTTTTGAAAATCCGGATCTTGTTCCACATGCTGAGTGCAGAAGATCTCCACACTGGTTTCAGGCTAATGAAGGCCTGTCTTGCTGTCTTTCCGATCCTGACTTTGACATCGTCGTCTGTCCCGCCTGTAGTTGAAACAGCGCTTCCTAGATAGGTGAAAGAGGTTACTTCCTTTAAGTTTCCCCCGTTGATGGTGACTGGAGTTTGTTGTTGGTGGTGGTGCGGTATCTTCATCACCTCTGTCTTCTCTATATTCACTTGAAGTCCCGTCTTCGCTGCCTCGCCTCTTCTGTCAACTTGTTAGTTTTCGCCTGTAGATCTTCAAGTTTGTGAGACATCAGGCACAAGTCATCGGCGAAATCCAAGTCTTCTAGGTTCTTTTCCACAGTCCAGCCAGCGTATCCCCCTCTTCTCGCTCCCCACTGTTTGCTGCATGATCCAGTCCACCACAATCAGGAATATCATGGGGGATAGCAGGCAACCTTGTTTCACTCCTGTCTTCACTTCAAAAGCATCACTGAGCTTCCCATTGTGAATTACTTGGTTGGCATGTGACATCTTCATATAGTTGTTGAATGAGGCTTATAAAGGTTTGCGGTACTCTGTAGTAATGAAGCAGTTTCCAAATTACCTCTCGGTTGACGCTGTCAAAGGCCTTCTCGAAGTCGATGAAGTTGAGGTAGAGAGCTGATTGCCATTCTATACTCTGCTCTATGATGATGCGAAGCGGTGCAATTTGGTCTACACATGATTTGTACTTCCTGAAGCCTGCCTGTTCTGGTCGTAGTTTTGAATTCAGTGCATCCTTAAGCCTCTCCAGGATAATGCGGCTTAATATTTTACTTGGGGTGGACAGGAGAGTGATTCCATGCCAGTTCTTGCAAACACTGAGGTCTCCCTTCTTCGGCAGTTTGACAAGGTAACTCTTCTTCCAATCGCCAGGTACCTTCTCTTCCTTCCACACCTTCTGCAGTAGTGGTGTCAGCATGTCTGCTGTTGTCTCTGCGTCTGTTCTCAGTGCTTCTGGCGGTATCCCGCCTGGTCGTGCTGCTTTCCCGCATTTCAGTAGCTTTATGGAGTTCAGGATTTCCATTTTTGTTGGAGGATTTATGTTCACTTGTAGTTCAGCGGCTGGACTGTAGGTGGTATTTCTGAAGAAGTGAAAGTGGTGGTGGTGGTCGATTCAAGAGCTTCTTGAAGTGGTCGGCCCATTGTTCTCCTTGTTTCTCTTCTTTCGTAATTAAATTTCCGTCATCATCTTTCATTGGTTTCGTCTGCGTTGATCTCTTCCCAGATAGCAACCTGGTTATTTGATACAATGTTATCAGGTCTCTGTCTCTCCTACCTGCAACCTGTTCTGCTTCACTTACCAGTGTTTCGTAGAAGTGTCTTTTGTCTTTCCACCCACTCTTCTTCACTTCTTTGTCCAGTGTTTTATACATTGTGCTCAGTTCCTCTTGTCCTTGAGCATCCTTGCACTGGTTCATCTTCTGCTTCAGCATCCTCCTCTCCCTGCTCTATCAGCTTCCAGGTATCCGTCGAGATCCATTCCACTCCTTGTCTCCTTTCTTCTTCCTTCCTAATACGGCTGTGTAGGTTTCTTCCCACATCTCTTTCAAAGACTTCCAGTGTTCTTCCACACACGTTTCTCAGGGATGTTCCTCGATATCTCCCATTTTGTCTTGATGGCTGTCGTGAAGATCCCCTTTGTAGTTTCATCCTTCAGTTTCCGAGTGTTGTACTTGAATTGAGGACTATCACCAGCTTCCTTGAAGGCTTTTAACTTGATTTGGAAGGTTCCTTGCACTAGATAGTGCGTTGTCTGAACCTACATCTGCTCCTCTTCTTGACCTTGTGTCAAGTAGACTGCGTCTCCATTTTCTTGAGATTGAGATAAAATCGATTTGATTTTTAGTGTGTCCATCTGGTGAAATCCAAGTCGCTTTGTGCTTGAACACAGTGCCTGACTCCAATCACCAAATCGTTGAATGAGCAGAATTCTGCAAACAATTCTCCATTCTCGATCATAACCTCACCGAGCGCTTCTCGACCCATGGTTAGTTCTCTTCCTGTGTTGTCCCCTCCCAGTTTGGCATTCATGTCGCCCATTAGAATTTTGATATCGCCAACTGACGTCTTGTCCAGTGTTGATTGCAGTTGTCTGTAGAATTCCCCCTTCTTCTCTTGCTCTGCATTATTTGTAGGTGCATAGCATTGTATGATTGTGACCTTCCTTCCTTTTGAGTTGAATCTTGCTGTCATGATCCTGGAGGAGATTGGTTCTCACTGCATGAGAGCCTTCGATGCTGTTGAGGACATCATGATGGCCCAGAAAACTCAGTGTGCTCGTGGTTGTCGTGTCATCTGGGTGATAATATCGGAGTAGATTATTGATTCTCCAGTTGACAGTTTGGAGAGTCCACTCCCATTCCATCTGCTTGCGCAAATTCCTAACACTTCAATGTGATACCTTCTCATCTCTTTTGCGATCTGGGCTGCCTTGCTGGTTTCAAACATGGTGTGGACATTCCATGTCCCCACGTTTACTTCCGCTTTGATCGAGAGAAGGGGAGATACATTGGCCAATTGGCTTCCCGAAGGCTTTCACCAACTGGCGTCATTTCGCCTCTCCGATTCCAGCGAGGAATAAGTTTGTTTTTATTTTTTATATTGTTTGTGCTTTGAAGTTTCTTTAGCGGTTAGATTTGTTTTACGGGGTAGGGTTGCTAGCCCTATGCCCAACCTTCCCTGTTTACCCGGGCTTAGGACGGGCTAGTAACTAGTGAACTAGTTAACCGGGCGAGGTTATATATATATATATATATATATATATATATATATATATATATATATATATATATATATATATATATATATATATATATATATATATATATATATATATATCTTCGAAACACGCTGGTTCCATATATAAGAAGACAACGCATCCTGGAATCCATTCAAAAATTTGTACACCAGATTATTAATAACGCCTGTATGAAAACTAACGTCTAGGAGCCTAAATGTTGTTAGATGGGGTGGGATTCAAATTAGTGATTCACGGGTTGGAAATCCGTTGCAGAAATTGCTGTATCCGCTTGAAATCGGTAAAATTAGATCCCGGTTATTCCTGTCCGTTAGATTTGGTAAGTGCCTGAGTATTTTAGTGTACGATTTTCATGTCTACAAAGGCAAAATTATTGTATACACTTTGACCAACTCATTAACCGTATTAATTTATTATTCTACCAGGTAAACAGGTTGTCCATACTAAAGTTGTCTAGGAATTCTGATCTAATGTAGTTGGTATGTAATTTGTGCTATTGAAATGAAAGGTTTACGTAGTTTGGTAACAGAATTTGTTGTTACAAATACAGAAATACAATTTTCTTGTGTCAACTAATTAAATAATAATTAAATGTCTAATTAATTAAAATTGACTATTTAACGTAGCTGAAGCACAAACTGAAGGAAACAAATATACCGTTACCATTGTTTCGTGGTATCGATGGATCTTGTGAATGGATAGCTGTTGATATGAGTAAGTAAAATACTCCTTTACTCTATATTCTCAATAAAGATAAAATATAATTAATGGGTACGTATCATATTTTCCAAATAGACAAGGAAAAGAAGACCACTCAGTTAGTCCAGCTGATGTGTAGCTGCAGCTCTTTGGCATAGGCATTCAAAGTCTGACCATTAGGTCACACTTCGAACGCCGCTCCGCCTACTGAGGTTTGAGCACTCGCTGCCTACTGCACGAACGTGCATATGGTTGGTGAGTACGTTTCTAGTTGATGTTAGCACTGATGATAATGATGAAAATGTGTGGTTGAAACGTGCATATTCAGATATCCTAATACCAGTTGTCAAATTACAGAAGTTACCGGTGAGGTATTTTGATATCGATTGACTTGATATAGAACTGGATTAGGTGCACTGATGGACCAGAGGACCACCAAATGTCATGTTGTCTGATCTTAAATGTTGGTCGAATTGCATCCATCTATTTCACACTTTGACTGATGTTCAAAGCAACCAGCAAGAAGTTTTGGTGACCATATAGAAAAACTCACCCACAGAATTCGGCTAGCAGAAGATTGGTAACTCTACAGTTACTAACTGGTCTTTTTGTCTAAGTTGTGTAGGAGGTCAGGTTCATCCTAAATAGCCTAGTGGTAAAGTTTCTGACTGCAACACTATGTGATGGGGTTTGGATATCTAATGAAACAACCGGACAAACATCAGTGCAAGGTCTGACTCAACTGTTTATTAGTTCAAACTACACTTCACATAAACATAATATGAAAATAGGAACAAAATGCTGATGATAATTGTGGAAGAAATACGACAGTGGGGAGAAGTTTAGACGGAATAAAAGGTTCAGAATAAGAAAGTTTCGGAGAAAGATGATATCATGGATGCATCTACGTTTGATCTTAAGCTATGTCGCCTATTGTCTTCAACTAGTGATTCTGGTCATTTTGAAGACCCTGTGCATCTAAGGTTATCCTGGCAACTTAAAATAGAAATCAGTTATTGATCATAGTATTTTACATTTAGGGTATATTATAAGCAGATCTTCGAAAAGCGGAGTCCTGAATGACATTTCTACAAAAATTTGAAAATCCCTACCAGTAAAATAAAAGTAAATGTATGAAGTGGGGTTCAAAATCACGACCAAACTTTAAGTGCCCTATTAACCTCAATGTTTCGTCTAAATAAAACTGCAACGATCACATGTGTCGACAAGCGCAATATTGTTTAGCCGTTTGAATGCAGTAGATCAAAAGTTTCCTTCTTCCTTTTTCAGGTACAATCATTCTTCACCTATTTCTACCTTCCACAAGGTTAAAATATGATTTAGAGTCGCTTTGGTGTGCAGGTCCACGTTACGATGAACAGCTCCTTATGAAGAACACGTTGAAGTCGCCAGACAAATTCAATTGGGAACAGTTACTTTCTGAAATGCAGCATGAAAAGCAGTCCTAGATCGCATATTCAGCTGTTTGATGACAGATACGACTTCCTTTTTTCTAAGTATAAAATATCCGGTTGTAAATAGGTTTGTGCAGAAAACATGTATATATTTTGGAATAAATTTTAATCACTTATGAATGCTAGATGTTGCGAATTCTTGTTTCGTGATGAAGCCTTTTTTAGTAATTTAATCGCTACTCAAGTTGTTAAATTTAATCGTGATCGCATTTAACATCATACATAGTGTTAAGGCTTTTATCTCAGTTAGAAAAATGCCACCATCTGTACAGAACTGGCGATTTACAGTTAATTAAAAACATCATACATGCCCATTATTTACGCACGGGGAATTCTCATTCTCGCATCACGTTTTTAATGCATAGCACGGAATGTACATATAAGTAGCTAGTGATCGATTTCTGTACAACAGACAAATACAATGTTTAGAGCGAACAGAAATCCAACCGTGCACAACGCCTACTTACCTTTTTCTCATCGCCGACTGGTCGCTGGCTACTTGATAAATAGCTCGCAGTCATGTGCTGTGGAGTTGACTTACAATTGGTGAGTCACGCGTTCGAATACCGCCTCACCTACCACGATTTGGGTCTCCAGGTAGTATTATTAGCCCTCATACAATATATGTGGCTCAATGCCTATTGCATCGATATGCACAAGATTATTAGGTAGACTTCGGTTTTTTCGTCATGCTGTATACGTCATATTTTATGTAACAATATGAATTTGTTCAGTGTACAAATAATACAAACACTTGGTCAAAATGGTCAGCAGTTTTTCGTTTTTGTTATTCATCTATTTGGGCTTGAGAGGCATTAAGTCCGTTAAAATCAAAACGGAATCTAATAAAAATTCCCTACCGAACAAATTCGCCAGATCTCACGTCATTACAAGACACCAAACTGGAAGCATAAATGTGACCAAGAAAATAAATTGAATAGTAATACGTAATATAACGACCGGCATACAGATGAAGTGTCGATACGTCTGGGCTACTGCTATCAGTTCTGACCAATACCACCTAGAGTCGCACTGACTTTATCCAATATCATCAAAATCAACATGGGATCAGGCATTACTACGTAACGGTTTAAGTTTCCACATATATCAACACACCAAGTAACAAGACAATGGGATGAAACACAAAGAAAGAAAAATCGGTCAGAAGAAGTAGAAAGTAGTGAAAGAAAAGAGGAAGGGATGAGAATATGATTTGATCGAATATAGCGGTTAAGATGAGGATAATGTGTGTATACATCTGCACCACTGTTATCGGTTCTCAACCATATCATATAGAGTCTCCAACCACTGGTTTCTCTTGTTCTGTAGACCCTAACCGGCTAGTCTACATCGTTCTGCGTGGCTGAAAACAGCAGTCAAGGATTTCATGCATTGACGCCATGTTTTAGTCTGGCCACTCCGATCTTCTTTCCAGCCTGAACCTACTTCGGCCAACATTGTGCGATGAGGCAGACGGTAGCTAGGGATACGTAACACATGTCCCAGTCATGTCAGTCGATGAAGGTTCACAACCGCACCAACTGTTTTACCTCTCCTCCCTAAAACTCTATATCTAACTTCTGCGTTACTCACGTGGTGACACCATAAAACATGGTCTATGCTAGGAAGGCAGCGGTGGTCAAACACCTGAAGCCTTCTAACGTCTCATACCTTCGATGGTCATGTCTCAGCCATAGTGCAGAACAAAGCAGACTGCAGCACAGTATACTCGACCCCCAATGGACAATCGGATATTGCAGCGGCGCCACAGACGGCATAAGTTAGCGAAATCCAGCCGAGCCTTTTGAATCTGCAGGGATTTCGTCGCCAACAGAGCTGATTCGACTTCCCAGGTAAGTGAAGTGTTTAAAGCACTCAACCACTTCACTCTATATTGTCGTTGAAGACCAGTCCTGAAGCAACATTTAGTATTTGGGTGGCGAGAAACGCATCCCAAACATTGTCAGATTGCCACTCAGAGTCCAGAAAATAATAAATCTTGCCAGAATCCTCACCTAACAGGACTATGTCATCAGGATATTCTAGGTCTACCGAAAATTCCCCTATGATTAGATCAGTCCCTCTGTAGTCAGATGACGAGAGGGAGATTTCCATAAGAACATTTATCATAAAATTGAATAAGAATAGGAAGAGTGGGCATCCTTAACGCGCGCCACTCCACTTACACATCTCACCATAGGCTGTAGCATGCCCACAGGTGTTCGAGGAAAAAGCCCTCAATAAGGGGATGCACTTAATCGGTACCTCTCTCAGTGAAAGACATTGCCATAAGACTTCTGGATCGATGGAGTCGAATGCCACCATTAGGTCGAGAATTACAGCTATTGTCGGGTGTCGGTAAGCGTGCCTGTAATCCCGGACCTGGCGGAGTGTAAATATTTGGTCGATACACGCACGGCTGGGTCTGAAGCCTGCCTCGTTTTCTCGGGCTTACCGTTCCCGAGCTCCACTCAGGCGTCTATCCAACAAAAGAGTATATCCCCTACACCGTTCAGATAAGTGACTTCATGAACTGATACCATGTTTACGTCTAGACACCATTTTTTCCAGCGTAATCCTGCTTCAGTTAACATTACACGTAGGGGTAGACAGTTGCTGGGTCTAAGTAACATGTCTAGCCAATTCATTCGATACATGCTTACAACTTCACAAACTGAATTACCTCCTTCACCTTAGACTCTACCTGACTTCATCTAGTGGTTCTACCACTGCTGCCTTTTTAACATTAACAGTCAACCCTACACGGCGACTATCAAAGTTGTGGACGAAATAACCGGCTTGGCTAAAAAATCCAGTATTAGGTTAACTACACACTAAAGCAATACTCTTCTCATTTAAAAAAAGTTGCACTCACGACACAACTGTTTCAGCATCCCTAGTATTTACGTGGATGAGAAGATTATTGAACTTAATAAAAGTGTTTTCTTTTACAGTCTATACATTATTATATTCTGATAGTCAGCTATATAAGGAAAAACGTTCTGTTTTTATAATTTAATGAAAAATTATGTTTTGCGTTAATGAATTTGTTATTAGGGCATCAAGTCACGATCGCCCACCACTAGTTAATGACGGTAACATGAAGTCCATTGAGGATGATAATCTTTCAGATGTCAACACTTTGGTCTTGTAGATAAAATTTTTAATAGCTTTCTGAAATACATAAATAAAAAAAAATTATTCTTAGTAATTACATTCATCAAAATAGCTTTGATTCAGATGGCCTTTTTAAATTTAAAGATGAGGAAAACTAAATTTTAGATTAATAGCCTTCAGATCACTGATCTAGGTTCAGGTTTCTTCTGGTTGAAATACAACTGTGATATGAACTGTCACTCAAAGAATACTGTATGCAGCTGTGATAAAGTATGATAGTTGCAAATCGGAAATTGTAGATATTTTATTCTTACAACCTAGGCTTTTAGACTGGTTAAAATATGCGTTATGAAAATTCAACGACGTTTTTTTTATCAGCTAAAAAACCATTGACAATCACGGGGCGCTAAACATTTCTGAACTTTTCCGTAGTCTGTACAGCTTCATTCACATTAAATCAAACAAACAAAATCAATGTAGAACCTCGCACACAGGTGCATCGGCTCAAGTTGCCACACTTCACAAAGAACGGGTGGATAGAAAAAAAATGATATCAATGCAAACAAAGTTGTGAGAGGTAATTAACAGTTTGAAGACAACGGTTAGTTCGGATATTCAAGCTTTAGAAAATACCAGGAGTGAATACATCTATCCCGTTGTAACCGATTTACAGCCATGTCACCAAGAGTCCTCAACCACTGATTCCTTCCGTCTTGGGGACTTCAACCAGCTAGTTTACATCTCCGTACACTGCTCAGGCCAATGGTCAGAGACTTTGTCGACTGGTGCCTCATGCACAGTAGTGTACAGAACATCCTTGTTCTGCCGTTGGGCGATAGATGACTCCACTAACCCAGTAACCTAGTGGATGACCCTCTGCCGTTTCAAGCTATAGGTGTCAGGTTCGCCTTCCAGTGGGAGCACCATCACTTGGTGGGATCCAGGCACATCCAGATGAAAAGCCCCAAATAAGACGGGTTGTGCGTCCTGGTTTCCACTAGTAGCCACCGACAAGCAAATTTTAATTTCATTCTCATATCCTATCAGAGACTTTATATTGTAGTGACCACTTGAAAAATATTCTGTAAGTTGTTACTGACTTTTGACTGTTTTATTTTCACTGCTTTCTTGCTTGATGCAATGGTATGAGGTGTGGCAACTTGGGTCGCAACACCGTAATGTCTAGTCTTATGTTGATCCTATCTGTCTGTCTTTGCGTTTCAAAGGGTGTTTTGGCCAATTATTTTAAAAATAACCGCCTTTTAAACTACTGCTAGGTTTATTATTAAAAAACTTTGAAACGAATCTAAGTTCTAACATATATTTAGTATGATTTAACTCACCACCATTCTAATATCCACTTTGTCTTGTGTAGTGCACCAACGTTTGCATGCAGATGGCCGAATTCGGAGTAAATGATCAGCACCACCGATAGCCAGTAAATCAAAAGTTGGTGAAGTAGAATCATGATGAACAGATTCACTGACTGAATGTTTAACCTGATAGCCATTCATCATGTGACTACAATCCATATGCGCTGAATTAACTACATTTCTAGATAGTACTTGAGATTGTCGAGCAGCACGTAGTCTTTTACGAAACTCTAAAGCTTCTTTATACCCACCAAATCGACTTCCAGCTCCGACAATAAATAGTGTTGGTAATGAGGGTATAGATAAAAGAGGATCATTTGTGCCACCTCTCATACCTCTCAGTCCAACCAACGGTACACCAATACAAATAATCCCTTCGACATTTGTTCGATTGCCGTCTACACGGGAGTCCAGGGAGAGTATATGTATAGCAGACAATAACATAAGCAAAGTTCCAACACCGAAGCCAACTAGGTAAACAGATTCATTTCTGCATTCATCTAACTGAAAACAGGAAGTGGTTGAGAATAGTGGATAGTAGTAAAATAAATGATGAACCTGTAATTATACATACATATGTAGCTGCGGGGTCATAACCAATTAAGGTAAATAATAACCAGCGAACCTGGCTGAAATACTATTTTCATTAGTCAGTTCCATGTGACGTGAACTAAGTTGAAGAATCTAACAAGTTCATCGTATTCTCACTGACAATGTATTATAGCACGGCATTTTTCAACACTTATACCGTATATAGTTCAATTTTTGTAAAACGACACACTAGTATTTACGCTACCCCTACCTCTAAGCCTTGAACATCATACCATTCAAAATCTTTCACTTCAGTTCCTATAGTATTTCCTTGTATTATTGATCATCTCATCTTTCTATTTATTATTATTACTTGTCCCTTGGGTTCCTAGTGGAACATAGGGCTTCAGTTGCACGTCGCAATTTCACTCTGTTCTCTGCAGTCTTTTCAACCTGGTTCCACCACTGCCTGGAAGCTTTCATTTCTTCTTCACACAGTCTCCTCCATGTCACCCTCAGCTGGGACGCCCAACTCGTCATTTCCACTTTGGATTCCACTCGAGGGCCTGGCGCATGATGTCCCCAATTGGTCATCTCTGTGTATGCCTAATCCATTTTTGCTTTCTGCATATTTGTTGAGCGATAGGTTCTTGGTTGGTTCGTTCCCAGAGTTCCTTGTTGCTTATTCTTTCTGGCCATCTAATCTTCAGTATCGAGCGTAGACGGCTGTTGATGTATGTCTGCAGTTTGTTGGAAATGCTTTTTGTAACGCGCCAAGTCTCTCAACTATCACATAGAAGCACTGACTGTAGTTGAGACGATGCTGTCTAGGCAGGTGGAAGAGACCACTTCTTTTAGATTTCTTCCATTGATGATAATTGATGCTTGTTGTTGGTTGGTTATTTCCATCATCTATATCTTCTCTAGGTTCACCTGAAGTCCCGTCTTCGCTGGCTCTTATGCCACAACTTCCTATTTAGTATATTGAAAATTCCCACTTAGACATTTAGGAAAATGACTAATTGACCAAGGAAATAAATTCCTTTCCAATTAGGTCTCTGTCTTTACTTCTACACTAATATATACGTTTACAATTCATATGAACTCGAACCGTTTCTCAATAATGCCTAGTTCTACGCTGATATCAATAATGAATTCCAATCGAAATATGAATCAAGGGGTGGGGATTGATGAATAGTAATTAGAAATTTTAAGTAGACCATGAAGATGATGAGTTTGAGAAATCAAGGTGCAAATAATCAATCGAGTAATTATACGGGATTAAAAACGGAAATTATAATGTGAAACAGGTGATTCTAAGGTAAATTGCATAGTGATTGGTAAAGTAAGTGGCGTGTTTTTTTCTTGAGTGATCAGTCATAAATAACAAACAGTGTAAGAATACGGAAGCAAACGAATGTTGACAGAACAAGAGAAGGAAGAGGGGTACAAAGTAATGCTAGAAGTTGCATTAAGTTGATGGCCGCGGTAATGCAAGTGGCTGGACAAATTTCTTTAAAATACAAAGGTTAGGTTTGAAATCGTCTCTGCTACATATGAAGTAGATGAATGCGCAATCCATGTGTTAACTAAGTGTGCAAGTAAGGAGATCTTTATTACTCTAATCTGTCTCTCACTTAGCCGTGATGGGTAGTGCTCAAAACTTCGACGACAGGCCCCCATCACTGTACGCCCAGTGTATGATTACTTTGTGAGTATTTGCATGTCGATTTCCCGAACTTATCATCTTCATGACTTACTTAAAGTCTATTATTATTATTCATCAGTCCCCCACCCCTTGACTGATATTTTCATAGGGATTCATCATCACTATCAGCATAGAACTAGGCGTTACTGAGAAACAGTTCACCAACAAATGGTTCACTTTCCTTTAGTTGTAAATGTAGAAGATTAAAAAAAATAATAATTGCTACGATTTAGAATGCTACATCCGAAATACACCGGATGACGAATGGTTTCAGGTAAGATTCTATGCAATTAACTGCACACAGTTGCTAAATAAAAGTCTGGACAACTACTAGCAATTCGAAATTTGTGCGTATATATATGGAGATGCAGTTTATTGGCTTATGAACTCGATTTTCAAGCAACGGGCTCCCATTTCGAACGCTGGCCCATTTAATTCGACCTCGACAACCTTGCACAGCAAGTGTGGCTCATAGCCCAGTACGTAAATATTTCCTGGGACGGGTTACACAACTTTTGAACACATACTTCTTTCACATAACCCCAAACTTACAGTCAATTATAAACACATTACTAAGCTATGTAGCTTGGGAAACGTGCCATATTTGTAGCTAAATGACTATCATTTCTGAATCGTGAGACATGAAAATTGTTAGTACTTATTATGGACTGACATCAGTTGGAGGAACATTTGAAACCTGGGAGCACTGGGCAGCTGTTTCGCCTCAGTATGGCACTTCTCGGCAGTGCGCACCAGGGATAGAACCCAGGACTTTCGGGTTCCGTTGCCAGCGCAGCAACACTGGGTCGGAATCCAACGGTCTATATTTCTTACCTCTGCTAGTTCACGACATAGCGCGACCTACATTCAATGTCGTCATTGAGTACCTGTTCTCGTGTTCGACAACGGTTGACTCCACTGGTCACGAATTCTCATTGAAACTTCGGGGATCACCTCTCGAAGCTAGTCATCAATGAGCACTGATGTCAGTCTATGATGAGCACCAACAATCAATAAATCCCCACAAAGCACAAAATTGAGACCTGAAAATAATAAGTGAGCACAAAGTAAACCTGAGTTTGATCCCTAGTGAGGTTATGGGTGCTGAAGCATCCCACACTAAGACGAAAAAACTGTTCGGCACTTCCAGGTTTTCAATGGTTTCTGATGGTGGATACAACCTTGAAATGGACAAATCCCCACAGACTAAGGATGAAACATCATAGTATATGTTTTACTAAGGCTTCTTGCATACAAGAAATAATTCCGTGAAACAAAATTATCCAGGTTTCATTTTTTGCCTTCTTCGGATCCCTGCCTGACAGAAGTACTTTGCACTTCAGTGGTCCAAAGCACATACCAAACTTACAGACACTGATATCCACTTGTATGCGATTCATACCAGTCACTTTTTCTTGAATTGTCTGTTGTCACCTAGTTGGCGTTTCGAACAACTTAAACAAGAGGTTTAATCAACTAACTGATCAAGGCCCCGATGTAGTAAAGTCTTATTAGCACGCTGACATGGTCTTTGTCATTCAATAATGACAAAAATTATGTACGATTTAGTTCAAGCGTATAGTTCTAGAACATAAAAGGTTTGCCAAGTAGTTCATCCACTAATGCTTAAAATTAGTGAATTACTATGCATACATCGCTGTGTGCTGTTAAAACATCAAACAACCTAAAGAGGGATACACTATGGTTATAAAAATGGATATACCTCTTTGACAATTCTAAATCTCTATTCACTAAAGCCAAATGGTTGTGATTACATCATAACATTGTTATCCTTTGCTATTTATTAGTACCTGTGATATCCTGCTATACTGAATCGAATTGATCTATCTCTGTCGGCATATAGGTTCTCGTGCGGATGCCTCGATACTTCCTGAAGATTTAGTACGTTATTTTTTGCTTTGTGGTGGCTAGCAGTAGAATCCAGAATGTTTCGTTCCATTTGAGGCTCATCAGTTGAACTTCTCTGCTTTTCACCGAGTGATGGCTCTTGTAAATCAACAGCCTAGTGGGTAACACTGACGTTTAAAGTGGTGGATGCTACGTTCGGTTCTCACTGGGAACAATATCACCCACTGGAATCCAGCTGACAAGTTCCAGAGAGGACAAAACGCATGTCTTGGATTCCACTGTTAGCCATCACTAAGCAAACTACAACATGATGCGATCTCCTATCCAACAATAACAACAACATTCTTTTGAAGTACAGTTGGAATATATGAAAACCTACCGTCGTTAAACGACGATCACAGCAGGTGAAAACCATACCAGTCAATTAACAAATGTATGAAATATCTTACTTAAGATAAACAAACACCAACCAAGTGGGATATGACGTGACTGCATATCAGTTCAAGTTAGTACAGCTACGTAGGCCTCATTTCCTTAGTACTCGACGTCTAACTAAAATACCACCGAGACACTGACTTTATCAAAGATGTGCAATGCATCAGAAATAATGGTGGTGTAGTAAATACCCATAGCCTTTGCAAATACTCCATCTTCGATAGTCATATTTCAGTAGGATATAACGTACTGTTGTGCAATAAATCCACTTGTAAATAAACAATTTATGATTTCACAGTGCCATAGTAAGACTGAGTATGAATACAAATCATTCTTGAAGTAGCACTATATAATGTATGTAGGTCTGAGACTACGAAGGAATCTTCTAGTGTGAAATTTGTGTAAGTTGGACGCATAAAGTATGTAACCTTCAGCACCCATATGAAGAAGTTAGACAAACTTCACATCAATTTTAAGTCGGAATTCATAATGGATTGACATCAGTTGGAGGAATACTCGAAACCTCGGAGCACTGGGCAGCTGTTTCGTCCTAGTATTGGACTCTCCAGCATCCCGCACCAGCAGGGATTCAACCCAGGACCTTCGGGTCTCGTGGCCAGCAAGCTAGCATTGTTCTATATTTCCTATTTCTGTCAGTTCATGATACAACGCGTTGAGTACCTTCCCTCGTGTTCGACTTGGTTGACTCTACTGGTCACGAGTTTTCATTGGAACTTCGGGAATCACCTTGAATTCCAACCTAAAATCCATTATTAAATCTCTGCAAACCTCCAGATAGAATTAATCTAGCGCTCATTGGTGACTAGCTTCAAGAAAGGATTTCCGAAGTTCGAATGAAAAGTCGTGATTAGTTGAGTCAACTCTTGTCGAATATGAGGATAGGTACTCAGCGACAACATTGGATGGAGGTCATGCTATATCGTGAACTGACAGGAGTAGGAAATATAGACCAATGGATTCCGACCCAGTGGCTCAGCGGTAACGCGCTAGCCATGGGACCTGAAGGTCTTGGGTTCGGTCCCTGTGGGTGCGGGATGATGGGTGTGCACTGCTGAGGAGTCCCATACTAGGACGAAACAGTTGTCCAGTGCTCCCAGGTTTCCAATGTTCCTCCAACTGATGTCAGTCCATGATGAATTCCAACCTAAAATCAATTAATAAAACTTCCACTTCATATGAGTTGAAATTCTTTGAGACATCCAGACTCGCCATTGTCTCTTTGTAATCTCTGCTTACGCACCCACTGACTGTAGCTCGGATGAAGTGAAGGACGAGTTCTACCATAAACTGTCTAACCTCCTCTCGAAAGCCAAACGTTCGGACGTAGTGGTTGTTGCAGGTGACCTCAACGCACAGGTGGGTAGACTGAGTGAGGCAGAAAGGCACTTAGGTGGCACTTTCGGAATCCCAGCTGAACGTACAGATAACGGTGATCGCCTATTACAACTATGCTCAGATAACCGCCTATTTTTAGCCAGCACAAATTTCAGACATAAAGAAAGGCACTGTCTGACCTGGCGTCCACCGAGCTCGACTCAGCGATGGACACAGATAGACCACATTGCTATTAGTCATCGCTGGAGAGGATCGGTGGAAGACTGCCGCTCCTTCTGGAGTACGTGTTTGGACAGCGATCATGCGTTGGTCCGAGCACGTATATGCCTGCGTCTCAATGGACGTAGAAAAAATTTGGCAACAAAACCACTACGAGTTCTGCTGGACAACGAAAACACCAAAGCCGTGTTCAGTGAGAAGTTGGCTAGGCAGTTATCGGAACAAAAGACTGTCACTCATCCAGAAGAAGCTTGGTGCCATCTTCAGTCTACTGTAAAAGCAGCACTGGAGACTGTAGCCGACTCCAAGATAATGGCTAAAAAGAGCCAGTGGATATCAGCAGCTTCTTCCAAACTAATGGATGCACGTGAATGCATCCCTGCAGGCTCTGAGTACAATGAAGAGCGAGCGCAACTTAAAAATAAACTGACGAAAAGTCTGCGCAACGATCGTGAACAGTGGTGGGCAGCAAAGGCTAAAGAGATGGAAAAGGCAGCGGCGATCGGTAACAGTAGACAGTTATTTAGACTTATTAAGGAGACTGGGGGGAAATGGTCAACAACAGTTAGTGAGGTTATAGCGGAGAAGGACGGATCGGCGATTCACTCGCAGGGAAGGCGACTGGGACGATGGGCAGAACACTTTGAGGAACAGTTTAACTGGCCTCCAGCCACCATTGCGCTGCCCGCTATCCAGTCGGACCCTGAATGGGACATAGAGACAGGTCCCCCAACACTAGAAGAAGTTGAGAAAGCGGTAGGTAGCCTGAAACGGGGAAGGGCAGCAGGACCAGACGGACTACCTGCTGAGGTATACAAGAATGGTGGTAGAGTTCTCTTAGTCAGGCTAACGGAAGTGTTAGCCAGTATATGGGAATCAAATACGATCCCCTCCGACTGGTCTAAGTCACTGATCATCCCAGTCTTCAAGAAAGGCGAGAAGTCCTCTTGTGATAACCACAGAGGAATCAGCCTGACAAACATAGTGTCTAAGATCCTAAGTTCTATAATTCTCCGACGCCTGAGTGGAGCTCGGGAACAGCAAGCCCGAGAAAACCAGGCAGGCTTTAGACCTGGCCGTGGATGTATCGACCAAATATTCACACTGCGCCAGGTCCTGGAACATAGGCATGCTTACAGACGCCCGACAATAGCTGTATTTCTCGACCTGAAGGCGGCATTTGACTCCGTTGATCGAGAAGTCTTATGGCAGTGTCTGTCACTGAAAGGCGTGCCTAGTAAGTACATCACCTTATTGAAAGCTCTCTACTCGAACACTTGTGGGCATGTTAGAGCCTATGGTGAGTTGTCCAGGGAGCTATACTCATCAAGTGGTGTCCGTCAAGGATGCCCACTATCCCCATTCTTATTTAATTTTATCATAGATATTCTTATGGAGGTTTCCCTCTCGTCACCTAATTACAAAGACGTTGACCGGATCACAGGTGAATTTTCCTTAGATCTAGAATATGCAGATGACATAGTCCTGTTAGGTGAAGACGCTGACAAGATGCAGAGTCTTCTGAACACTTTGAGTGGGAATTTGAGAATGTTTGGGATGCGATTTTCACCACCCAAATGCAAATTTTTGCTCCAGGACTGGTCTTCAGCGGTACCGCGGTTAACAATAGAGAGTGAAGTGGTTGAGTGTGTTGACCACTTCACTTACCTGGGAAGTAGGATCAACCCGGTGGGTTAGTTGCCGATGAGATTTCTGCACGGATACAAAAGGCTCGATTGGCTTTTGCCAATTTGCGCCACCTATGGCGCCGCCGTGATATTCGTTTGTCTATTAAGGGTCGCGTGTACTGCACAGCAGTCCGCTCTGTTCTACTGTATGGCTGTGAAACATGGCCATTGAAAGTGGAAGACATGAGAAGGTTACAGGTATTTGACCACCGTTGCCTTCGTAGTATAGGACGTATTCCGTGGTGTCACCATGTGAGTAATGCAGAAGTTAGGTGTAGAGTTTTAGGGAGAAGAGGTAAGTCAGTCGACGAGGTTGTGAACCTTCATCGACTGAGATGGTTGGGACACGTACTACGTATGCCTAGTCACCGATTGCCTCGTCACACAATGTTGGCTGAGGTGGGTTCAGGCTGGAAAAAGGCCCGAGGTGGCCAGACTAAAACATGGCACCAATGTATGAAGTCTCTGACTGTTGGTTTAAGCCATGTAGGACGATGCAGACTAGGTGGTTGGGGTCCACGGGACAAGAGGAACCAGTGGTTGGAGACCCTAGGTGATATGGCTCAGAACCGAAGTCAGTGGCGCAGATGTATACACACATTATCCTCATCTTAACAACGCTATACCGAATCTCACTATTTTGTCACTCCTCTTTCCTTTCTTCTCATACTTTATATTTCTTTTGACTGCATTCACTTATCTTCATCCTTCACCTCACTACCTTTTTACTTGATGTGCTGATATGAGGTGTGGCAACTCGGACCGTTACGCAGTAATGCCTGGTCCTATGTTGATAACGATGATGATGATCCAGAACACAGTGTATAACTGAGGAAAAATAACTGAAAAGAGAAAAGTTAATCTACAACATCCGCAAATAAAACATTACAATGTCCCAGATTAATAGTTACTCAAGAATATGGTTTAGTTAAACAAGCACTTATCACTTACCAAACCGACAACACGTCGTACAAACAATCGAAGTCGAAGTCTCATACTATCACATATTTGTTCTTCTTGACTTTCTAGATTAACTCGACCAATTTCACCGAGTAAATAGAGTATCTTTTGTAAGCGTTTACTATCACGAGGCGCTGGAAATGTCATACATGCTAGAATTATCCCATCATTCGATGTGGAACGAATAACAGACATTTGATGAAGAGATTTTGTAATAATTGGTCTTGAAATAGACTAAAATTTTTATGGAAATAATATATATTCTTCAATTTGTGATTTCATTCAATAAAACAGAAGACAAATAAAAGTCAAAATACAGATTAGAACAATGATTAAATTTCGCTTCCAATTCTTTCGGAAATAGGAATGTCTAGACTGTGAAATATTGATTTTAATTGGCTCCAGGAATCTTCACAAGTGATTGGCTTGAGTAATTCATCTTAATAATACGATGAGTTCAATCCCAAACAAGTAAAACACCTATTCAGTATTAAACCGATCAGCATAAAAAGTGCTACTACTACCTGATATGCACAGATAGGTATACGATTGCTGGATCAGGCATTCTACTTCCTAATAATGAGTCACACTTCTGGACCCTACTACACTTTTGACAGCTTGAACAGTTGAGTAGTGTCATCACTCCTAAAATACTAGATGTTGATCATTGGTTCATTTCGTAAGAAAAAGGATACTTTAAAAGATAAAAACAAACACTTACCACAGTCTGCTTTATATCATTACTGTTAGTTACTTCTAAATCTGATAAAAATCGGTCTACCATGACATCGTTCACACAGCGTTCTTGTAGGATTGTGTTAAGAACTTTCAGTAATGGGTTGACCTAAAATAAAATAAAATGTTATACTAAATATTCTAGGTTAGTTGTATGTAATGAAAATTAACTAAATTGGCTCAATTCTTGAAAACTGATAATGATAGTAATTGTTTTGTATAATCTATTTCCCTAGGCAGAATTAATCTCAAGGCGCAATTCATGGGCTTGGTTTCGTGTGTGAAAAACGTGTAGTACTTAAACCACTCCATCACCATGTAAGTAACGCAGAAGTTAGATGTAGAGTTTTAGGGAGGAGAGGTAAAACAGTTGGTGCGGTTGTGAACCTTCATCGACTGACATGACTGGGACGTGTGTTACGTATCCCTAGCTACCGTCTGCCTCATCGCACAATGTTGGCCGAAGTAGGTTCAGGCTGGAAAGAAGATCGGAGTGGCCAGACTGAAACATGGCGTCAATGCATGAAATCCTTGACTGCTGTTTTCAGCCACGCAGAACGATGTAGACTAGCCGGTTAGGGTCTACAGAACAAGAGAAACCAGTGGTTGGAGACTCTATATGATATGGTTGAGAACCGATGTCAGTGGTGCAGATGTATACACACATTATCCTCATCTTAACCGCTATAATTGATCAAATCATTTTCTCACTCCTCCCTCCTCTTCTTCACTACTTTCTACCTTTGCTTTCTTTGACCGACTTCTCTTTCTTTTTTCATCTTCCATTTTACTGCCTTGTTACTTCATGTGCTGATATGAGGTGTGGAAACTTGGACCGTTACGTAGTAATGCCTGGTCCTACGTTGATCTTGATGATAACTTCAGTATGCTACTTGATGGCTCCTTTTTCTGAACTTCGGTTAACTAGTGGGTTTTGTGTACCACTAGAAGCGTGACTGCGGGTGGTTGACACTTCCCGGCTGCTAACACATATGAAAGTTTTTTCTGCAGAGTACCTGAGAAAGGAAAAGATTTGTATGAACCCAAGGTACACGGGATATCTGCTTGACACTTGTCACATACAGTCTTTTTAGGATTGTTAGTTTGCGATTTGGTTGTTCTAACGCTATTTTGGGGCCAACCTTTACTAACCTCGCCTTCCAATTGAGGAGGCAGTATCAGTATAGTATTGCTGGTCATTTGTGGGAAACACCTTACACCCCATCCCCCCCCCCGCAGTAAGAACTCATCACCGGGCCCCCATCATGCCGTAGAAAATTACGCTATAGCAGCAACTTCCTTTCGTCTGGCATGGAAGGACCTCAAGGAGCAGGCGTTCCGACCAGTGAAGCTTGTTGGGTCATTGTGACATGCAAGTTCGACCACCACGTCAATGTGGCAGCTATCACCCAAGGGTAGAATGAAAACCTGGGTTTATATTAAGCAGACTTTTCACTTTCCCACTCTACTGGACTGAATTGACCTACTCTTTTTGGCATATAGGCTTTTCTTACGAATGTCTCAATAATATAAAATGTCTGATTTTCAAAAAACCTATTTCATGGGTTAATACATCAGTGACAAGGCTGGCTGTCGTTATCATCTGTATGAAAGTAATGAATAGTCGTTTACTTTATAAAACAGTCACATACATTCAACACAATTATCGCTAATTATTTATAATCTTTAATTTCCGTTATAACGAATTTTACTATTCGAAAACTACCCAATCTATGAGATATGACAGATTCGCGGGACAGGATAATAATTACTTGGCATTCTCCGAACTTTGAGGTTTGTTTCGTTGGACATTTCATTACCAGGCTAGGCGAATTCATCAAAATTTACTCCATAGAGAAGTAAGTAAAGTCAATGCTGCTGATGAAACTTTCAGGAAAACAAACCTCAACGCTCTGAGAACACCAAATAATTATTACTCAGTTTATTTCATACATGAATAAATGCTTTTTCGTTTTAAAAGTAATCTGAACCGATTACATTACTGAGGGTTAGTGACTAGCAGTGGAATCCGGGATGTGTATCTCGTCCTAGTTGGGACTCACCAGCTAAATTTACTTGCCTTCCAGTGAGCAACGTTGTTCTCACTAAGACTCGGACCTGCAACCGATCGCTTCAAATCCCAGACCGTTATCCACTGGGTCACCGAGTCACGACAGCCCCTTTTCTTGTGACGGTTCAATCAACGATGGAATAATACAAGTAACAAGTAACATATAAACAGATTATCGTTATCTTTCTAAGAAATTAGAATTACCTACCTTATTTTTCTGCCATAATATATAGAACACCAAGCGATAAAATGGTAGAAGTGTTTGAGAAAGGTTTTTAATGCACCACAAGTGAAGACTGAAACACTTTTCAATGTGCTAACAGAAAATGTGAAACAATACAATACTGTTGATGTGATCATGAGCAGTAATTTTGCTCAAAGTATTACTAAATTAAAAACTTATCGTTGACATATTTAATATAAAAACTTTTTCATCCAAGAGGGAAAAATCAGTCAGAGTGCTAAAAAAAATAATGAAAATATCAGTGTCATACACTGAGCAGGCGAAATCTCTGTTTTTCAAATGAGATTACAGTTGTAACGATGTTTCTCGGTAATAAGTAAATACGACTACTTGTCAAGTCTTGTTTTGAAAATGGGACTGAAACTTGACAGATTATACTTCAGTCAACGTTTCTTTGCGTTAATGAAGGTACAAAACAAAAAGATAAGCTCCAAACACGGTAGCGAGTATGAAACTAATAAGTTAAATTTATTCTAAGAACTTCTGAATTGAATAATTCTAGTCCTCATTGGTGACTTGCTTCGAGAGGGTGATTCCCGAAGTTCTAATAAGTCATGACTAGTGGGGCCAACCAAGTCGGATATGAGGACAGGTACTCAACGACAGCATTGGATGGAGGTTGAGCTATACTGTGAACTAACAGAAGTAGGAAATATAGACCATTAGATTTCAAACCAGTGGTAACGTGCTCACCACGGAACCTGAAGGTCCATGGTAAGGTCCCTGGCAAGATTATGGGTGCGCGCTGCTGAGGAGTCCTATACTCAGACGAAACAGCTGTTCAGTAATTCCAAGTTTCTAATGTTTCTCCAACTGATGTCAGTCCACGATGAATACCAACTTGAAATCAATAAAGAAATCTTCACAAACCTCCAAATTGAATTATCTTAAGAACTGTTTTTAATGCTATTGACATTGACAAAAAGCGATAACTATCGCCTGAAATTTTGTCCATAATAAAATTGACTGGGGATATAATGCGTCAGGCCCTCGAGTGGAACCCAGACGGGAAACGACGAGTTAGGCGTCCGAGGGTGACATGGAGGAAGTCGTGCGAGGAAGAAGTGCGAGCTTGTGGGCTGTCGTGGAGCCAGGCTCAAAAGTGTGCAGAGAAGAGAGTGCACTGGAGACGTGCTACTGAAGCCCTATGTTCCACTAGGAACCCAAAGGACAAATAATAATATAATATAATACCTGAGAAACGCTTCGGTCTAATTTGAATCTATTCCCCAAACAGATATTTGGAATATTTCAGCTTTTCATAAGCGGAATCCATACTAAGCTAACGATCGTACTCCGTCAGATCTTGCAACATGAGCACATCGACCGCAAACATCTATCTGGAATCAACCGCTCCTTATTTCATTATTTATTGCTGCAAGATACATAAAGTCACCTCTTCAAGAGAGTTTTGGTGAAGGCGTTGTTATTTGAGTTCACTACAGGTTTTGGACAGGTACTGATTTCCTCAATGCAACCTTTGACAACTTTAACCCCTTAGAAATATAACTTTAGTCTCGAGAACTTAGAATCCTATTGGATGAAGTTGATGAAATATAACAATGAGAAAGACCTATGGATGTTTGGTATTCATCCTACACACCTAAGGATATCTTAGTGTAAATTTGAAGACTAACTACCGTTTCGGATGTTAACTTTCATAGTTTTGATAAGTTAGATAGAAGCACCGAAAATTCTTACTAAAAGAGTGCGCCATCGATTTGAACCACTTTTCAAGAGTTTCTCCCCTGATATTGACAACCAAGGATTTCATAATCATTTAAGAACCATTAGAATGCGTTTTTTTGCTTCTCATTCTAAAATCTTGATAGATTTGGAGAATAACACAGTCACACATATGTGTTGCTGACTCTATTTTATATAATGACTATGTGCTTTACTTGAAATAAAGAGTCGAATTAATTAGGACTAAATGTAACGTATCGACCACTCAAGGACGTCGACTAACTACTGGATATTACTTTAATAGGAAGGAATCGAAAGAATTCAACTGTCTTTTCTGCATTTTCTTTGACAGGAAAAATCGAATCAGCTAAATATATTACTGGTCCATATTGCACTTTACAGGTTCAATTCTCTAGTTTTTTTCATATAGCGATAGAATTATTATACTTAACTGGAGAGAAAACATATCATGAGGAAATAGATCAAGAACAATAGGCTATTTATCATTTGTAGGAAGTCAAAAAATGAATATATCTGTTCCACTGTAACAGATCTTGAGACACAACTTATAGTCTGTAAGAATCAACCAGTTACATCTTATTGAAACCGACCATTTAGCAGACACTCTCCTACACTCCTTAAACAAACAGTAAGCGACTGCATAGGTAAGCTGAAGTGATTATCCTGAAATTTCTGTCAAAGTATTTTGGTTTTTTCCACGATGTACTCTGAGGTAGTTGATGGTTTATATAACATGGACCTTAATTACCTCACTTGTGTGTCAGCTCACAACCTAATTGAGTCCATTAACTTCAGTGGCTATAATCCTACTTTTAATCCGGATATTACTGATTTCACATTTATGATGTATGTGAAAACTTTAAAAGAAACTGATGATGGAAAAACTGTACTCTACTTCCTAAGATGAAAAGAGCACTGCTCGATTAGATTCCAGTTGACAGTCAACAGTGTGCAGTGAGGAATAAAAATAACCGTGGAAATTGTCGTCACCTTTTTGTAATCTCTGCTTACTACTCACCATCTGACTACAGCTCGTATGACATGAAGTCAAGTTTTACAGACAACCGTCTAGCTTTTTACTGATATGCAAACGTTCAGATGTTTGTCACAGCAAGCAGGAACGCAGTGAAATTGCACTTTTGAAATCCCAGCTGAACGAACGGATAACGATTGCCTGCGACGAATAAGCTTAGATAATCATCTATTTCTGATCAGCACAAATTTCATACTTTGTTTGACATGACGTTCACCATTCTCAATTCAATGGTAGAATTGTGCTTAACAAGGAAGTGACTAGACAGTTAACAGAACAGGACAACATTATTCATACTGAAGAAACCTGTCATCACCTACAGTCTACTGAAAAACAGCGTTCGAAACCGTGACTGATCCTCAGAAAAAGATTATAAAGGGTCAGTAGATCTCATCCCCTTCTAAACTTATGGATGCACGTGAACATATCCCCATAGACTTCAAACAATGAAGAGAAGAAGCAATTGAAATTTATATCGACAAACAGTCAACGTATTGACCGTGAGCAGTGGCGGATAGTAAATGCTATAGAGATGGAAAAGACAGCAGCAACAGTTAACTGTAGACAGTTAACCACATTGATCACGAAAATCGAGGAAAACAAGTTAGCAGTTAGTAAGCCCACGGTGAAAATAGATGTCTCCAACTTATATGTAGGGAAGATGACTGAGACGATGGGCGGAACACTTCAAAGAACAGTTAAACTGGCATCCAGCTATTAATCCTTTGTTTTCCATCTAGTCAGATCCTAAATAGTATACTACGATAGACCCCATAAGTCTTACCGAAGATAAGAAGGTAGCAAGTAACCTGGAACAAAGAAAGATAGCAGGATTCGATAAGCTAGCGCCCAAGGTATTTTAAGATGGTGGTCGAGGATTATTGGTCAACTAAACTAGTGTTAGCTAGCGTATAGGAACCAGATATGACCATCTCCGACTTGTCTCAGGCAATGATTGTTTGCCTTCAAGAAAGGAGAGGAATTTTCCTGTGATAAATGGAGAGGAACAATGTCTAAGATTCTGGACTCTATAAGTATGGTATGTTTAAATGAAGCTCAGGAACAGCAAAAATGAGGAAACTCGGCAGGTTTCAGACTCCGTCGTCGGAACATAAGTACACTTATCCGCGCAAGACATTATTAGTCTTTTCACCTAAATGTTACATTCGACTGTCTTTTGGTATTGTCTCTCACTGAAAGAGGTGCAAGGTGAGTACATCACGCTTGAAGACTCCATACTCATGGGCAAGTTAGAGCCCATGACGAAGTATCAGGTGTTGTAAGCCGAGTAGTGTCCGTCAAGGATATCCAATACCTCCATTATTGTATGATTTTGTCGTAGACGTTCTTATGATCTGTTTCCTCGCTTAACTTCACAGTGACAGACCTTATCATAGGAGACTATTTGGTAAATATAGAACACTCAGATCAAATAATCCTCTTAAGTTAAGATGGTTACAGATGCAGAGTCTACTAGATACTTTGAGTGGCAATTGGAGAACGCTCAAATGCAAATTATTACTGCAGAAATCGTTTGCATTGATGCTTCATATTATAATAGGGAGTTAAGTGGTCGAGTGCACTGACCCAATCATTCGCTTAAAGGGTTAGATCAACGCTGACTGGTCAGCGACCGATGAAATCTCGACACAAAATCTCAGTAAAAAAAAGGCTAAGTTAGCTTTTGCTAACTTATGGCACCAATAGTGCCATCGTGTTATTCAATTGAGCAGCTCTGCTCTACTAAGTGGCTATGAAACATGGCCATTATAGATAGTGAACATGAGAAGACTCCATGAACTCAACCATTGCTGTCTTTAATGGCATAGGTCGTGTCGTAATGCCACTCTACTAGGAACGTAGTAATCAGGGGTAAGGTAAACGAGGTAAGTCAGTTGATTAGTTTGTGAACCCACATCGACTCATATGGCTGGGAGTTGTGTTACACACACCTAATCACCGTCCGCCCATCGTGCAATGTTAACTGAAGTAGGTTTACAGGTTGGAAAGAGGTGGAAGACAGCTTATCTGAAACAGGATATGTGTCCACGAAATCTTTGGCTGTTGATCTGTGCTTTATAGGGAAATGTAAACATCCCGGTCGAGGACTGCATGACAACTGGGATCTGTGACTGAAGACTAAAAATCGTTGCCAGTGGCGCTACACCTTCAACACACTATTCTCATCGAGATCGTTATACCGAATTTCATTTGCTTTTCACGACCTTCCATCACTTTCCCTAATTTCACCTTATTTCTCTATGTTTCATCCTAATACCTTCTACTTTCATGCGCTAAGATAAAGTGTGGTAACATGGACCGTTACGCAGTAATGTTAGATTTTCGACCACTAGTACTTACATGACGATATATCCGTTTGTTTAATGTTGGTGTCACCGGTCGCTATGTTTGGCAATACTGTTGACCAAGAGGAACAAAACAGCAAAAGACTGTCGCCAATATTAGTTTGTGGGTTTGATTCATCAAAACAATGTCTTTCTACGCCGCTGATACTCGACACTTTACTTTGAACTCAGCGGCTCCTATGCATGTGATGTCAAACAGAAGAACCAATGGAGGCCTCAGGAAGTGAGACCAACGGCAGGGACTGTGTATATAGCTCGAAGGGTGCTATCATCTTTTGAGACTAATGGTTGATCCAAAGATAGTTATCCTAACTTTACTTAACTCCATTTATTCCCTTATTAGATGGAGATCTGATGATTTACAGAACAATATGATCAAATGACTCAAAGACGACTGTTAACTAAGTGTAGTTCATAGCCTAATAAGTAATATATATATATATATATATATATATATATATATATATATATATATATATATATATATATATATTGCAATTAGGAATAATGTTGAGTGGTGACAGAACCCAAACTATATCTTGAGTTTAATTACATAAGGTCTTTTTAGTACTTCAACATTCTAAGTAGATTTTTACGCTCTCTGAAAACCTTAGCGTTTGTACAGAGTTGCAACGAAAGATAGGGTGAATAGGTGCAAATATCGGTGTTCCTAACAAAAAAAACAGCAAAATAGTAAGGAATGACGGTTGTCATAATGAACCGCTCCAATTTTCAGATATTCGATTTTCGCCAGAACTGAGAATTGTTTTAAACCCCATTACAAAGCAACTGTTCCCCTAGAGATAGTAAACCCTTCAATCAAATTTTGCCCATGGGGAAGCCCAAAAAAGACAAGTAAGTCCCATCACTTTGCAACTATCAACTAGGTTATACATACCTATTCGTTAAACACTACCCAGTGCAGGATTCCAAAGTGTGAAAAGCAAAATAAACTAACATACCCATGAAAGGTCGGCAAATATTCTACGCAGGTTATTGGCGGCACTTCGTAGGCAAAGCTCCTTGCGACAGTTTAGACGCTCAGTGTCAGAAAGCTGAAATTAATGTAAATGAATCGTAGGAAAAGAACCTGAGAACTATATACTTGTTCAACTCTCATAATTTTCTTCAGAGACGACATGATTTTAAGCAAGTGCCTTTTTTCGCAAGGAACCCATGTATAACTGTCCACTACAATTTTAAACGCTTAATTATCATTAGATAACACAACCTTCAAGTTGATTCACATAAATTCTTTGCTCTAGATCCGGCACAGTGGTTCCTACGGTAGGTGAAGGGTCCTGATTTGTAGTTTCTTCAGCAGGCAAGCAAGTATTAGGTCCTCCGACGTCTACACAACTTTCTTTTATTCTAAAATGATTATTTTATACAAGAAATACAACATAATTACGTTGAATGATAAGATGACAAGTTGAGTATTTCTTCATCATTATCACCAGCTCTTCTATTTACGGATGTGTAGCAGTGATCTACTTCAACCAGAGACCGAACCTTATCCAGTTGCCCAAAATCCATAGGTAATTGTTAATGCGATGCATAAAAAAGTTGAAAACTGTCCAGTGATACCTATAAATAAATTAGTAAGAAACTGATACGTAAATATCAAATTCAAAACAATGAATGTCATGTGCAAAGCACCAGGAAAAAACCCAAATGAAAGAGAAGTGAGATGAAAAACCCTAGCTTATTTAATCAGTCGGCACCAACTCAGGATCTTGCATCACTGTGTAACGGTTCAATTTGCCAAAATCCACATTAGCATATTAAGTTACAAAGCAAGAAGGCGACCAACAAAGAAATGTAAACAATATCTATAGAAAGGCGTACTAAGTAGAGGGGCTCGAATGACTGAAATGTAATGTGAGGGTGGACATGAAGATACCACATGGATGCAGCACTGCAGTTGACTCTGTCTTATCACCTACAGTATTGGCTTTAACTGTCTCCCAACCGGCAACTTGGAAGACTATACCTTTTCAAATGGCTCACGCCAACAAAGGTTTTATTAACTGATGTTATGTTTTAGTATGGTCACCTTCGGCCTTTTCCAGTGTAGACCTACTTCAGCTGATGGAACAGATGGTGACTCAGCATGCGTAAGGTATGACACAGTCATCTTACTCAATGAATGTTCACAACAACTTACCTCTTACCTAAGATTTTATATCCAGCATTTACATTACTAAATTGGTAGGTCCACAACATGTCGCTAATACAACAAAAAAAATGGTAGTTGAACACCTCAATCCTTCTGATGTCCTTCACCTTAAGTGGCTGTTTCACAGTCATAGAGTAGAACAGAGCGAACTATTGCGCAGAACACAACCCCAGGAAGGGATAATCGAATATATCATAGACATGATGTGGTATAACTTGCAAAAAGACAATGGGATCTCATATTTCCATGAGATTTCGTCGGTCATTGACTTCCCAAGACTGATGAAACTTCTCAAATAAGTGAAACGGTTCATACAATCAACTATCTCAGCCCCTATTGCTAGACGACGGATTAACATAGACTAGTCCTGAAGGAAGTTTGCGTTTTGGAGGTGAGAAAACTTAGTGTGTTACTTTTTTGCAAGTCTATTAACTTTCAGTTAGGATCTTAGATAGTCTTCATCTGTGAACGAAATTGAGAAAACTCATTTCCCAGTAACTTAAGTCGGTACCGTTTTGACAACTGGCATGTAGGATTCACCACAAATGAGGAGTGGATAAAACATACGACTAAAATTATTCAAGATATACCTGAGAGACTACCAAAGAGACTAAGGAAAGGTACTAAATATTGACCAATATGTTTGGTATGTATGGAAATGTTAACTGGTTGATTTTTACAAATGGAGACAAGAATTTATATTAGCAATTAATGCCCCGGCCGATAGCTGCTACCTTGACGCGGTGGTCGGGCTTGCATATCACAATGACTCAACGTGCTATGCTAATAGAACGCTTGTTCCGTCGAGGTCCTACCATACCAGAAAGGTCTGTTAGATATTGGTAAGATGAAAAGAAGTTAGCGCTGCAGCGCAAATTACAACGCAATGACGGGGTTCTGAGAGCGAAGTCATAGCGCTGCTAGCTGGATGGAGTTTGATAGCGGTAATGTATTGCTCTTGGATGACAAGCAGTGCCACGCTGACCCTGCCTTCCCAACGAAAAAGGGGGGTTAGAAAAGGTTGGACCTAAAAATGACACTTTGCCAGCCCCACGGTCTTCCGGTGGCGGCGGTATGGTTGGTGTCTACGCAGTGTTAGAACAACCAAACCTCAAAACAACACATAGAAGGGTGTGTGTGACAGGCCTCAAGCAGATGTCCTATGGTCTCTGTGGTCACACAAATTTTTTTCCCTTTCACTTACTTCAAAAAGAAACAGCCTTCCACGATCTGGGTAGGAGGGAAGTATCAACCGGCCGCACGCTTCCAATAGTACACAAGACCCAATCAAATGGAACACATCCTTCTCAACTCTGTCTCCTCCTCTGCCTTCACCTCCTAATACTAATATTAAGCCTTCTATGCTCTACCCAACCTCCCACCTTGCAATCATTGCGAACGATCAAAGCCATAGAAACCTCTTTTCTAGTCTCCCAAGATTTTTACATCGATTTCATGTAGAAGCTTTCAACGTCCAAACTCTATCTCAAATCGGACAGCAAGTATCATTCGCCAAAATTCTGGAATCCCTAGCCATGGATGTATGTTGTGTCTTTGCAACGCGTATACAAGACCCGAGTGGTTATTAAATTGACCTTACTTGGGCTAAGTAGTGAATCTTCAAACTTCACCTTGAGTATCTGGAAGCTCAGTGGCTAGCTCTCATGGACCCCCTGGTGCAAGCACAGCATTGAGTTGTAAGGGAGAGACGGCGCCTGTTGATTAGATACCAATCAGCAGCCGTCTATATCCTGTTTGACTGAATGAATCTGTAGGAACTAAGAAGGATCGTGAGACTAACGAGTGTCTATTCCTATTCTCCGCTTACGCACCCAACGACTGCAGTTCGGATGATGCAAAGAATGAATTATATAGAAAACTGTCAACCTTGCTACAGAAAGCAAAAAGGTTAGGACGTAGTCATAATGATAAATAACTTTAATGGTCAAGTAGGGGAGTTGAGCCAATATCAGAGAGGCATCTTCGGCGGTATTTACGGAATCCCATGACAAATAACCGACAACGGTGATTGTTTCCATAATCACTTGGTTCTGGTCAGCATTAAGTTTAGTCATACGGAAAGACGCTGCCCTGCGTGGCGTCCGCTGGCTTTAAACCAACGATGAACACATAGATGACATTGCTATAACTCACCGTAGGACAGGATTGATGGAGGAATGCCACTCTTTCTGGAGTACTAGTTTGAAATCCAATCACGCTCATCGACTCAGATATTTGGGGATCGCATTACACATGACCAGTCACCATTCGCCCATCGTGCAATGTTGGCTGAATTAGGCTAGCAGGTTGGAAAGAGGTGAAAGACCGCTAAACTCAAAAATGACATCTGTCCATGGAGTTTTTGACTGTTGGACCGCCCTGTGTAAGGAAATGTAAACTTCCCGGTGGAGGTCTGCGTGGCAACTGGAATCTGTGGGTAGACCTGAAATCGATCTCAGTGGTGCGACAGCTTCGACACACTACCTTCATCTGAATCGTGAAACCGAATTTCAGAATTACTGTATGCTGCTTTGTCCTCTTTCTTTAACTTTCCACCACTTTCGACTATTGCATCCCTTATTTCATCTTGGTGCCATCTACGTTGATATTCCAACATTGTGTAGTAACATGGACCGTTACGCAGCAGTCCCAGGCTTGATGCTGATGAAGACAGCTTGTTAATGGTTAGTACAGACTCCAATGCTGTGAATCCCTTTACTGGGAGGTATGATAAGTTACACAGACAAAAGGTTCACCAAAGTTTAACTTTGATACCACTTACACGACGGTTATCACGGGACTATTTGGGAATTCAAAAGCGATGAAGAAACAAAAGGACGAAATGGACTGTTAATCACTTTCTTAACCACAATACAGATGTATAAGGTTGGAAAGATGAATTACCATGCCTACGCACATCGTGAACTTTGACAACTAGGTACCTGGAGTTGATTAAATCATTTACGCAACAGGTGGTAATGGGTAACGCCACCCACACCTCATGTACACTGAGAACCTATCAAAAATTCCCAATGTTTCGCTATCATATATCTGCTTTACGCATAATCATTGCGTCTCTTCCACCAACCCATCATCCATATCCTTGAAGCACTTACCTTCGAAGTGAAGTAGGAAAGTTATGGTTTTTAAAAGCTTATTCACAGTGCGTGGTCTTATAAGAGTACATGAGGCAATAGACTACAAATAGATAGAAAATGTGTGGACACAACGGTCAAATATCCAGTTTCAGCTAGGAAATTCTGAGTGAGTCAATGGTAAAACTATAGTGAACTCGCAGCAAAATGGAGAAAGGAGAGCAAAATGAGTGTGCACGAAAATCCCCGTTTTGCATGCAATCGTGATCCCCAATGTCAACCGAACAAACAAAGAACGTGAGACAACAGGTAAAAAACATATGGCTAAATTTATATGACGAAAAATGAGGCAATTTCCACGTCAACAGAATGCTTGTCCTTATAACAGAATTGGACCTTCGTAAGTGCTAACTACATTGAGCAGAATGTCAAAGGGCTATCGTAGGAAGAGGGGTGACCCTATTATGGCCTACAAGATCGCCCACTAGGCAAACCACGCAAACAAATCAACCTTGCCTGCAACACAGCGGTCTTCACGAGAATACCCCACTAAGATAGAACATCAGAGAGCCAATACCATACTCAGGTCCAATTTTTTTCCCCTGAGTATGCGCTTTACAGAATATCCTACCACGACACAACGTCACAGCCCCCTCAGTCGAATCACTCAAGAGACGGTTAGACAGTTATGTCATCTCCCATGGTCTACCACGGATGTACTCAGCGAGTCACCAACCTCACTAGCCTATCCTTACTTCCCTTCTACTTACCATTCACTATCTCGCTCTTTAATACATCTACAATACCTACTAATTCATTTCTAGGAAAAAGACCTACACTATCTATTTTTATCTTTCGGACAACTCCCACATACTTTTCTCCCTCTCTCACTTCTCTTCTTTATCCCCTCCATTTTCTATCCCTTTATTTTCTTTTTTTCTTCATTCTCTACCGCTACCTTACTATTCTCTTTCAGGTACCTACACAGACAGGAGTCATGACAGTCCCCTGACCTTCCCACGTCCCCATTTACTCTGCAAATTACAAATTACTAACCCACAAAACATCCACCTCACCGAAGCTAAGAGCAAGAAAGAAGAGGGGATTTCCCGTCCACTGAAGGAGTGAACCGAACAACTCGAACCAAGCCCTAAGAACTAGACGCAAGAGATCAAAAACTATCGGTTTTCTACGCTCGCACTATCAATCGGATGAACACTCCAAGACTTTTCTCTCATCCTACCAAACAAACACTTTTTCTTTTTTCGTGAGTCTAATTTAATCAAACTAAAACCTGCTAAGCATGAAAAAATGAATTTTTAAGTATGCGTGAGTGCCACTATTCCAATATCCAACATTGATAGTGCGAGTGTAGAAAAGTGGTAGTTTTTGATCTCTCGCGTCTAGTTCTTAGGGCTTGGTTCCAGTTGTTTGGTTTACCCCTGCAGTGGACGAGGAAATCCCCTCTGCTTTCTTGCTTTAAGCTTCGGTGAGGTGGATGTTTTGTGGGTTAGTAGGTTGTAATTTGTTGAGTGATTAGGGAGCTACGGGTTGCTGGGAAGTTTAGAGAACAGCTATGACTTCTGTCTGTGTAGGTACCTTCAGACACTTGTCACTTGATCCTCACTATTGAGAAGTGAGTGAAATGCCCTTATTTTGGGTTTCCTTATTTGATCGCTCCACTTATATAATTTTATAAGCAAAGTTTGAGACATAACAAGCACACTTGTTAGTGTTAACTCCTGGTTCCATATAAAATCCTGATATACCTATGAAATACAAACGGCCTCGACCTTGAGATAACGTTTGAGTTTAATTGGACGCCCAGTCCTCAGACTCCAGTGTCCAAAATCTTTATGAAACCATCCAGCTGATATCTCTGTAAATACTCCGTCTCTCCACGTAATTTCTGTCATTTAAGCAAGCTTGCAATGCATGAACTATAGCTTTGAAATTTCGCAACATCAAACATATTTTTGCGAGCTTGTATAAATCAAAAAATTTCATGCGGAATGGGCCTAGATCACTGATGGATTCCGATAAAATAGATCTAGAACCTTAAAAGCTTCTAGCACTCTTCGATCCACACGAAGTCCGGTTCCGTCTTCTACAATCTCACGTCCAACATGATAGAGTCACACACTTCTACAAAATCAATAGCCTAGGGTTCCACGAGATTCAACATTGATGCCGACCTTCACAGTTTGACTGGAATCGCGAAGGTGAAGGCATTCGGCCAAGCATCCACGTCATTTGACATGCTGTAGTGTTACGTTGCACTGCTCGTAATAGACTCTCCAGACAGTTAGCTGGAACGCATCGGTATCCTTGCACGACCTCACAAATATACCGTTGCATCCAACTGCGCTATTGTGTTCTTTCTTGCTCTCATATTTGTGGGTATATAACGAGTTCGAATAATTAGTGATTGGCCTCTACGTCTGTCAAGTTCTCACCAGGACAATTCCTAAATTGGTGAGCCCGACGTGATGACGTATCCCGACCAATAACAAGTGTTGAATTGGTGAGCATGTTCCATGTTATACTTGTATATTGTCTTCATTTTGATAACCTCTACGCATCCATACACAAATCTTTTTCATGTCCGACCTTACTCGCAAGCTTATCCATAATAGCACGTAAGGAGAAAAGCCAGGAAATGCCGGAAGCCATGCAGTTCCGACACAGACACAAACTCGGGAAACTGTCACGCTGGCACGCGTTCACGACAACCGTAGCCGGCGGAAACAGTCATTCGCTCCACGTCACCGATATATAAACGGAAGTTCGCTACCTCGCCGACACCGCCACAGAAGTTAGCGTTCTTCCCGCACCGGCAAAGGAGCGTCATCATGACCCGTCCTTCAATCTTCAAGCAGCTGGCGATGAGGTGATCGCAATATTTGGGAGACGATATGCCTACCTCAACTTAGGTTTACGTAAACCTGTTCACTGGATCTTCCCCCCAGATGACGTTTATGTGCCCATCATTGGCATAGATTTGCTAAACCATTACGATCTACTCGTAGATGCTCGTCGTCGACGACTGATGGCTAGCAACACAAAGTTACCTATTGATGGGACCACCTACGTAGGCCCGAGTTTAGCCACTGTTAGAACCAAACAATCAGGCGACGTGTCCTATCAGCAGCGTTAGAGAATTATCCAGAGTTAGGACAACCGAAGCATACTCTTCTGTGCATAGCCAGTAATGTTATGCATCACGTCACAACCACAGATTCACCTGTGGCACCCAAAGCGGGGCGGCTAGCCCCTGATAAGCTCAAAACGGTGTAAAGTGAATTCGATCACACGCTCGAACTGGGCATTATCAAACCTTCAAGTAGTCTTTGGACATCGACATTCCATACAGCTACCAAAGCGGATGGCAATGACTGGCGTCCAACCGGTGATTACCGAAGGCTTAACACCAAAACAACACCGGACTGCTACCCGATACCTCATGTTTACGACTTGACTGCGACGTTATGCGGAATGAACATTTTCTCGAAAATCGATCTGGTTAAAGTGTGCAATTGGATAACTATGGCAGCGGAAGATATCGCGAAAACAGCCATTATAACACCTTTCGGTTTCTTTGAATTCCTGCGCATCGCATTTGGCCTCCAGAATGCGGCACAAACATTCCAAAGCTTTATGGAGTCGAATCACTCAGCTTCCTTGGGTATACCATGGACAACAAAGGTATACGCCCATTGAGAGATAAAGTGGCGGCTATCACAAACTGTCCAGAGCTGACCACTGTGAAGTAGCCCCACACTTTCAGTAGCCTGGTAAGCCATTACCGACGGTTTGTTCCCAACTGTGCCTCTGCCAAGAGACCGCTCACAGATCCACTTCGAGGGACTATGAAGTGCGTGACTCTGGACAACGCGGCTAGACTTGCTTTCTCTAGAGTCAAGGGAGCCATTTCAAACCCGACCGTGCTCATGCATTACGGCCCCAATGCTCCTTTGAGTATTGCTGTTGATGCGTCTGACTCAGCAATCGGAGCAGTTTTGAAACAGTTGACTGACAACCAGTGGCAACCCCCAGCCCCTTTTTCGAGGCGGCTACAGGACGTGGAAACGAGATACAGTACATTTGGTAGGGAACTCCTAGCTATGTACTGTTTTGTACACCATTTTCGACATTCGGTGGAAGATACTGATTTCATTATTTTCACAGAGCACAAACCGTTAACCTTCTCTTTTAACTAGGCATCTGACAATACTCCCCTCGTGAATTCGACAGCTGCATAAGATTTCCCAGTTCACGTTGGACATCCTCACCGTTTCTGGAGCAAATAACTATGTAGCATATGCGCTATCTCGAATTGCTTCGATAAACCATATCGAGGGCGTTGATCTCGTTGAACTAGCCCGCGTCCAAAAGAAGACCTTGAGCTGCATCACTAGTTGTCGTCCACACCCCTCAAGCTATGCCTGTGTCCAGCAGTGCCAGGCAAGGGCACAATTTTATGCGATGTATCTGCTAGTCAATCATGCCCAATAGTTCCGAAGAGATGTCAACGCAACATCTTCAATGCTTCGCACAAACTATCCCATCCAGGTGTACCAGCCACCATCAGGCTTATTGCGCAACGTTTCTGCTGGCCGTGAATGAACGAAGACGTTAAGGAGTGGGCCCAGTCGTTCTCAGATTGCCAGACGTGCGAAGTCAGGAGACACACGAAAAGCCCCCTAGGTCCTTTTCTAGTCTCAGACATGCGTTTTAACCATGTCCATATAGACATTGTGGGACCTCCACCAGAATCTAATGGATGCGCTCATCTATTCACTTGCGTGGATCGTTCTGCGCGATGGCCAGAAACGGTACGCATTAAGGATATCACTGCTGAAACTGTAGCTCGTGCTCTCGTGGAAAGATGGATCGTGAACTTTGGATGTCCATCTTACATAACAACCGACCGTGGGCGCCAATTCGAGTGTAGATTATTTCACGCTCTAACTGCACTTCTAGGTTGCGCTCGGTTCCCAATGACAGCCTACCATCGACAAGCAAATGGCATGGTAAAATATTTCCATCGACAGCTGAAAGCTTCCCTTTCAGCTGCAAACATACCTCAGTGGACCGAGACTGCATCTAGTCCTACTAGGTATTCGTAACGCGTTGAAAGTTGGTGCCGGATGCACCTTCACAGAGCCCGTCCATGGGACTACGCTTGGCCTACCAGGTGAATTTGTCTCCACTTCAATTTTCAAACATGTTTTCGACAGGACATCTTGCGTGGCTAGGCCTACAAATGCAATGCATTCAGATAGGCCTTCTCTGTTTAGGCCTAAAATGACTGATGCATCGTTCACCCCATTTCACAAAAGATATCAAACACGTCTCCATTCGCTACGACTCCGTTCGTCAATCACTTGAGCGAATCTACGATGGGCCACTCATTGATCAAGAGACATGAGAAATACTTTATAGTCGAGCGAAACGGACGTGAGGATGATGTTAGTGTCGACCATTCGAGACCAACTCATTTAGAAGGCAACATCGTCAAAAGTGACGTTTCAGCTTGCTACAGCCAACCGGTGGATAGCCCGATCATCGAAATTCTTGACGATGTGCCTGGTAATGCACAGATATAACAACCACCGGCGCAACAAAAAGAAATGATCGGGTCGAACCATCAGGTTCCCAAAGTATTTGAAGTCGTATTCAACTCAGCAGTGTGGAATAAAATGTGCCTACCATATATCTTTAATTCAAAACTTTTGTTTTCGGGGCATTGTTTTTCTTATTTACCAGCAATGCGAAAATCCTCCTACATTTTACCTTTCTATACCAACTTCTCACTACCACGTAATGAAACTTTTCAAAAATAAGTGGAAATGAGCGTAAAATTTATTTTCAATGTGTTTATATATAAATAATTCCCATTTTTACGGAACGTTTTCGTGGTATTAAAGACTTTTATTTATATTCCAGGTGCAACGAGCACTGGACGGAACGTCAAAGGGAACTGAGGACCTCGATCGATGTACAATTCAATTTATTGTGTTTTATCTCTCATTTGCCACGACACCCTAGAATAGGATTAGACAACCAGGGGCCACTTCTCGTAGTGAGCCCATCGGAAGAGTTTTACCAGTGGAGGAACCACTGGGTTTTTGCTTCCGAGTGGTATCGCCCAAGGGTTCTCACGAACCCACTACGGGGGAGTGATCTATAGCATACCAAACCTCTACAAAATCAATAGCCTAGGGTTCCACGAGATTCAACATTGATGCCGACCTTCACAGTTTGACTGGAATCGCGAAGGTGAAGGCATTCGGCCAAGCATCCACGTCATTTGACATGCTGTAGTGTTACGTTGCACTGCTCGTAATAGACTCTCCAGACAGTTAGCTGGAACGCATCGGTATCCTTGCACGACCTCACAAATATACCGTTGCATCCAACTGCGCTATTGTGTTCTTTCTTGCTCTCATATTTGTGGGTATATAACGAGTTCGAATAATTAGTGATTGGCCTCTACGTCTGTCAAGTTCTCACCAGGACAATTCCTAAACTGTTTCGCTTTGTGACATTTCTAATCAACAAACGAAATTGGAATTTCAGTCTGCCATACTGTCCAAGTTTCACTCGTGTATTAATGAGGTTTTATGTGGCAGAATAAACTGAATAAAATAGAAACCTCAGGCAAGTCTTATCAAAAGAATACCGTAAGAATTGCCCCGGTGCAAACCTGATAGACGTAGAGGCCAATCACTTGATAATGCCCAGTTCGAGCGTGTGATCGAATTCACTTTACACCGTTTTGAGCTTATCAGGGGCTAGCCGCCCCGCTTTG